CTTAACAGTTTTTGAAATGGGGATGGGAGTGGGGAAAGGTTGAGGTGAGAGTCACTATCGGGGACAACACCCAGACCTGAAGATACAAGAGCTTAGACCTGAAGGCACAGGTTTGCTAGGACCTGCCCCCTGATATAAGACTGAAATGAGAACATGCTTACGCACTCAACCATACACACCTGCCTCCTCCTGGCGCTTCATTCGACATTTCTAAAGATAAGATGACCTAGTTTCATAACCCAGTTTAAACCAATCCCGCATGAAGATTGTCCGCGTAATCTTGTCCCTGAACCAAGTGGTAGGGTGGTGTATAATTGTGTTATGTTTCTACCTACCTAGGAGAAAGCACTTCTTTTCTTAGCATTGTCAACTAGAGGAAAGAAAATATGGTCTGGATTTAAAATCTGGCTTTGTGTTGAACTTATTTTCCATAGCCCTCAGGATTGGCGGAAATTTTCCAAGGGGGGAGGAAAAAAATGAACTGAAATTAAAATCGACGTTAAAACCAACATGCCCTTTAAGAAAGATCTGGATGGCTTTTCCACCACTGCTTTGAAAGTTGTTTTAAAACAAATTATAAAACAGTGGAGACAGAGTGAGACCCACCTCCTTGCCCCCTGCTATCATACTAAAAAGAGAGAAGAAATCTCTAAGTACAAATTAAGTCTCCACTGTAGAATTAGGCATGCGACATTTAAGAGAAGACACACATTATCTGTACAACAGACATACTTCTGAAGGAGCTAACTCACTCTAAACCGGAAACCTGGATTCCAGCCCAGGAGATGGGATTTTTTTTTCCTTTTTGAATATTACTCCTTTTCTGGCAACTTAGCCTGTTTTCCCCAAAACTGGCTTGCCCAGCATGCATGACTTGGGCCTGGGAGCAGCTCCTGAAGGTTGTCACCATGAAGGTGAAGAGGGAAAGAGTGGGGAGGAAGGAGAGCAGACCGTCGCTGTGCTCTAAGACTCACACAATGCATCATCCTAGGAAAGAGAGTTTAAAAGAGTTACCTGGGATTCATATAGCATAAACCCATTTATTTTCCAAAGGCAGCTTTGGACTCTTTGTCTACCATTCCTTTCAGGAACTGGAGATTACCTGAGGCTGGTCAATTCCCAGTGAAATATCCCCTTCTCACTGATTGAACAGAAAGCTGCAATCAGTTTGTCCCCCAACATCCCAACATCTACAGCCAGAGAGCAGGTAGGCCTGTGATGCTGTGCTCCCCATCGTGAAGAAGAAAAACCAAGCAGAAAACACTGTCCCTCCCTTCAAGGAGCCTGAAATCCAGCTGAGGACCTAGAATAAGAAAGCAACTAAAAACTGCTAATTTGGTTCTAAGGTTTATAAGACAGTGAACCATGGGGAGAGGTACTGTGAGGAAGCAAAGCAAAAAGTGGGTAAGATAAACAGGACTGGTTCAGTTGAAAAGATGAACATGACCTGGCACAGAGCAAGGGAGGAAATGTCTATAGGACACAGCAATTGCCACTTGTGTCTACTATTGTCACTAGAAGCCTCAGGTGCCACGGTAAAGACTGATCAGGCCACTCTTTGGACATCAACATTGAGGGTTCCATCCGGGATGTACATGGAGGGGCAGGCATTTGCTCAGGACGCAGGAGGGACTGTTCATGACGAGTCACCAAGAAAATGAGACAAGTGAGACAGAGAATCTGATAAGTCATAATAACTATTTGAGTAAATCACAGCAAGAGAGAAGTTCCGTTACTTTGAGGAACAGCTAAAAATAAGAGAGAGATAATACACAGCACTAAGTAGGGAAACGAGAATATGAAGATGAGAATATGAATACTTTAAGGGCGTTTTTAAGTCTGCGTACCCAACACGTCAAACCGACTCCTACTCTAGTATACCTGGCCCAAGGACACAGGTGCCAAGTCTAGGCTCACCAAATCAGTGCCCTTTGGTGTCTCAGCACCCCCACTAGCCAGCTGCTTCCCCAAGGTCCTTTGCACAAAGATACTTAGGAAACAGTTGCGCCCCTTTCTGAAGACTTTCGCATGAAGTCAAAACAGGACCACTTTGGGATTCTACAATAAACAGAAATGTAAGGAGTAAACTTTTAATCCCAGCGTTTAATTCTACCCTGATTTGTCTTACAACTTCACATGCACCATGAAGAGCCTCTGTATCTGTTTTTTCACTGGTGAAACGCAGAGAGGGGGAGTGACATATGTCAGGGGGTCAGAGTCCTAGAGGCCTTTGAGATGGTCCTCCATCCCCCTAAACCCTTCCTCTCATTTGAGAGACACATACAAGGCTCCAAACCGAGATCAGTAAATAGAAAGTGTGAATAAATGAAGATCGATCATTTCAATGCTTTTAGTCCAGGAGAGTGGGCTGGAACAGCAGGATTCTTCTTCCACAGGGGGCCAGGCGGGGGGTAGGATGAAGGAATGGCAGAGGCTGGTCAAGCCAGTGGCCTGGGCTTACCCTCGAAGCAGAACACAGAAAATCCTGGTTCAGCAGCTTGTACAGACCAGCAAACTAAGGTGACATAAATGAAAATGGAGAAAAGCCCATTTGTTAGGAAAAGCCAAAAATTTTGAAGCAAGGGCAAGTTTTGGCCAGGGGGGGACTCTAAAATGTTTTTAGCCATCTGCTTCTTCCTCTCTTCTGAGAAAAATGTTTTACATGGTCCTAATAAGGAACAGTAGTGTTGGTCACTGTTTGGCTTCAGTTCACTAACAGCAGTATCAGCCCACGGTTAATTTTTCTTTTCAGAGTCATATCTTTATAGTTTCTTGCACGTCAGATCTTCAAATATGCCCTCAGATGGACTGTCTTCAGAGGAGGCTCTCAGCGTTCCCTCCATTGTTAAACATCCCCACAGCGCTTCCTGACACGCCATCATTTCCCTGGGGCACCATGACAGGGCGCCCACAATCAAAGGAGAGGGAGGAAGAAAGAACTTAGTCCTCACTTGTTCTTCCCCTGCTATGTAGTACAGCCTTCCACCACCAGCCCAAAATACCATTCTGATGAAATATTAGAGTGCCTACATCTCTACAGGAATCAGAAAATAATACCTTCTTGCCAAGCTTCGGCTGAAACAGGACACTTCTTTTTAAAAGCCGTTTCTGATAACTATTTCCACTGTCAAACAGCAGTGGATCGTCCTTCCTGGAGCTCCGTGACTCAGGGCCCCTCCATTCCAGGGGTCCACACCTATGTTCTTGCTGTTGACTTCTTGTCTCCAACTGCTTCCCAAGCTCCTTGAAGGCAGAAACCCCATCTTCCTCCCCTCAGGATCCCAAGGAACCAAGGCAGGCTCTAGCACAAAGCAGGGACTCAAATGTGGGATGAATTCATCCCTAATTTTCTTTCTGATTAAATAAATCGGCAGGCTGCGCTGTTTACAAAGACCTTTGACACTTACTGCCACGTTTGATTCTAATAACACCGCAGAAGTCCCCCTTAGGCAGGGGCCACAATTTTCTCCGTCTATCGATGAGGACACTCAGACTGAAAAAAATCAAGTGACTTGACTAATATCACACAAGGAACAAAAGGATTTAACGACTTTTTCTATATCAACGATTTAAATTCTCCCTCATTAGGGTCCTACTACTTTAGGTCAGAGGATTGTTTTGGCATCACAAACATTAAATTCACCAGTTTGGGTCCCTGAGTTGCATCATTCTCATCACTGGACCCTGAATGCCTCTTTTTGATCTTATTTATCTATTTGTTTATACATTTAATTCTTTTTAATTACATAAACACTGGTGTGGATAGATTCTACTTTCCATTACGGTTTAAGAGTTTATCAAGGAACAGTCCTGGAATCAAGGGGAAGACCAGGAAGGGAGCTTTCTTCCTGAGCACCAGTGCAGCATGTGCGGGGCCTACCATAGCATTCTCAAGCCTCTCATCGAGGAAGAAGCTGCATCCCAGCTGAGCCCAGTCTTCTGCCAGGTGCTTCATGAAGGTAGGCAGCATACCATGGCATGGGTCCAGAATGTCAAATAAGAATGTCACTAAGTGTGTGCTTGGGAGAGAGGAAGAATTGTTTTAATATAAAAGGACATTAAATCATGACTTATGGACTAAAAAAATATTTTAATTAAAAAAAAAAAAAAAAGAAAAACCTCTTTTCCGACCCTGCCATGCTCTTTCATATGGGAGAATATGGATTATCCCCACTATTCAGCTCAACTACCACTGCTAAACAAGAACCACTCTCAAGACCAGAGCGGCGGAATTGTAGGGAAGCCCTCCTCTACCTTCATGCTGCTCCCTACATTCATTCCTCCAGGAAAGGACAAAGTTTTTCAGTTCACAGTGATCGATGTCTTTGACCAAGAACCTGACTCGCTGAAGACCCTCATAAACGTATTCTGATTAATTTAAGAAGTTCAGAATGCAATCTTCAGCTCAAGTTTCTATGGATGTCTTTTGGTTTAAATTGGCGACTATACCCAACCCACTGATGCCAGACCCATCTACCTTTGTATTGGAGACAGAAATATATCAGATGGGAGGGCATTAAGTCCCTAAAATGTAAAATGAAATCATCTCCTGTCAGGGAAAAACGAACAAACAAACAAACAAAAAATAAAAAAAATTAAAAAAAAAAAAGCTTCTTAAAGGAAAAGAAGGCAGTCTGAGCTGAGGAGACTAAGCTTAGATGACACAAAGTTGCTAAGGGTAGGCTCTACTCATCGTCAAGTGGGCAAGAACAATAAAGCATGTGCCCAGAGTTACTTCCGATCTCACAGCTGCAAACCCAGGCAGCAGTGCCACCAATGATTCATGGCATTTTTATTTTAGTCTGAAACACATCCGATTTCATACACAGGAGCTATGTTGCTGGAGGATTGAGAAGGGAACTATGGCTTAGGCGTCTGAAGATGGGTCAGTGAGCAATATTGGAAATGAGTAAGTCTTGCTTTGTGGCCACAGGGATCCTGACAACGAGAGAGACACACATGCAGTTGAATGACATTGAAACGAAGAAGCCAACACCTACGCTCCAGTCCAGAGTCGCTCTGGGCTCCTTCGCCGGGCCGTTTGCCACGGGGAGGCTGAGGGCATGTGCGGGAACCAGGTGCTGTAGGCCTGCCCGGGAGATGGCTTTCCTGCAGCCAGAAGGAAAACAAAACAAAACAAAAAACAAAACAAAACAAAAAAGCACACACAAAGAAAAAACAACATCAGAAGGTCATACATAGTAAAAAATCTCCCCAGGGTAAAAACTAGACTGCGTTAGTCTTCCACATGCAAAACCCTTTGCAAATGTATTAGAATCTATGTCTCTGAAGTACGTGGCCAAGACCGGGTGTGGGTGGGGGGGGCAGGTCTCAAAAGACAGGGAGGTTGAGGGGACCCTTTTGGGGGTAGCACTGCTTCAGAGATAGAAATTAAAATATAAGCCCCTATTCAGGGACAGGGCAGAAGGCAGGTCTGTTTACCAAAAAGAAAAAAAAAAAAAAAAGACCGAGGGCCCGCGTGGTCACAATACTTGGACAATTTTAAAGCTGTCAGAGGCTAAAGGCAAGAAAAGTGGGCTGGTGGAGTCTTCTATGGAAATCCCTCCATCTCCCCGCAAAGTGCTCTCCAAGCAGGGCACAGCACCAGCTTCAGTCTTGTTCCTCTCAAGAACGTCCTCCCTCCTCCCTGCAGAGGACTCCCGCAGAAAGCTTGAAGTTCCAAATGGTTAAAGACTGACTGGTAGCGGCCAAGACAAGGCCCATGCTGAGGGGCCGTGATCTTACCAAGGCCCACGGAAATAGAGAACCAGAACATGGGGCTTAGATTAGGTTTGGCACCTGGAACACAACAGAATGCAGGTCAGAAAGAGGGGGGAATGAATTGGGAGAGGTTGAGAAAGTCAGTCCTGACCTTGGTCTACAAAGATAAGAAATGAGAAGAGTTGCTTTAGCAGGCAAATACGACAAGGTCAAGGTGAAGGGACGGGAAGGGAGATGAGAGCCTGGTGGACAGAATGAGAACAGCATGATGGAGGAAGAAAGTGGGGAGAATTTGTGATACTGTCATTAATCATGTTAAGTTCAACCGCTGCACCGCTCCATGAAAAATGCCAGACAGGGGTCTCAAGCGTCAATATCAGCGGTGATTCATGAATTAACTAGGGGCTCCCTGGAAAGAAGAGGGGTTTTCCCTCTGCAGGGGTGTCCACGTGTGCTTTGAGAATCACCTGAACTAGAATCAGGTGGGTCTTGTGACCCTGCGGACGAGCCCTGTGTAGGTCTGAGGCCGAGGCCCAGAAATCTGCATTGACACATGCTTCCTTCTATGAGCTAAAGTTTTCAAGCCGCTCCATGAGAGTGTGGAAAGGCTTTAATCTAAAGAGGCTATGAGATGGAGAATCTCCCATATGCACCCTGAGGAAAGCAAAATCTAAGAACTTAAGAGACGGATTTCAGGTTAATGCCTAATTTGCAGATGACTGGAAAACTCACTCTCAACCAATGAACATCCACTGAGATTGTCTCCCCATCCTCAAGCCACTGAACCTGCTGCTTGGACTCAGGCTAGATTCCCTGCTCCTTGCACTCCTGGCCATAAAAACAGCCCACCCCAAATTGTTAACAGACTTGCCCGTGGTTTGCTAAGGTTTTTGTGTCCTGAACTGCAACTCCCATGCTATTCTCGAATAAAGTCAATTTCTGATAATTCCAGCTTGCCTTGGTTTCCTCTTTATTTGGGTTGGCAAGAGCAAATACGTTTGGGCAAGTGGGGAGCACTAACTTACCCAGGCCCATCAAAGCGGGGGAGCCCTGAAGGAAAGCATCAACAACTTCATTCTGTACTTTATCCCCATTAGTTCTCAGCACCGTATCTCAGAGGATGCGAACACAGCAGTGGAATCTGCCGTCTCAGACACAGGACCTGCAGACACACAGGGTTCCCAGGGAGGCCCAGATCCTCAGACTCCTTCACCCTCTCACTATACAGAGGAACGAGGCTGCGGACAGGTAGACGTGGGGGAAAGGAAGGCAGCGACTGCCAGATTTACGGTGAATCCCATCATGACTGAGCCCGGGAAGGGAAAGGAACTTGCCGGGGAAAGGGGGAGGCATGAGAGCAGAATGTAAAAGCTCCCTTGGAATCTAAAGGCAGGTGATCTCTCTGTTCTGTTCCCGGATCTCTGCAAACTCCACCCAGAAATGGAATTTGTAATTGACCAAGATCAACAGTAGCCTCAAAACCCACAGAAAGGTTGGGTAGAATCCAAAAAGGAATCCAAGATCATGCAGCCACTGATCAACCGCCAAGTGTGTCTAAGAGGTCAGCAAGTGCCCCACTCTTTTCTCCCCGCCGCTCTCATATTCCCACACGGGAAGTCTCAGAAATAACGTCAAGGTCTTTAGTAGTTGAAAGTGATCCCATCACACTTGCCAGTAGCCTACTTTCGGAAGCTCCCACTGGGTCACACACAATGTACTTGCTTTATATAATCCCCCAAAGAGTCGTTACAAGTGTGTAGACCTTTAATGAAGACATTCTGCTGACACAATCCTCTCTTTCCTCAAGGCAAATAATTAACAACATCCATTTTGGCCCCTTTACCGACACTGACTCTTTCGGGTTCCCAGAGCCAATTCCAAAGTTGGAAGGTTCCCCCAACATCAAGCAATCCTCAGACACCAGCAGGGTCTCCCAGAATTCAACTTAATTCTGACACTCTCTACCCAGAGCTAACATGGGATTCCACAGGTCTAGGCTGCAGTCCTACAGGACCTCTCCCCACCCCCACTTCAGATGCCAGTCACAAGCCCCAGGCTGTTACCCGGGCTTCTGGCCAACCAGCTCCAGATGGGAGGTTCCAATGACCTCCTCCTTAGGTTTGATTCATTTGTTAAAGTGGCTCACCAAACTGACAGAAACACTTACTTAACGTTTATCCATTTACTAAAGCAGAGGATGAAGGATATGAATCCACAGTCAGCCGAAGGGATACAGAGGGTGACGTATGGGGGGGGGGCTTCCATCCCCTCTCCAGGGGCCTCCTTCTTCCAGCACCTCCACCTACTCACTGAAAGTCTCTGAACCCCACTCTTCTGGGTTCTTAGGGAGGCTTTATTATATATGCAAGAATGATTAAATCATTGGCCATTGGCTACTGATTGAAACTTCAGCCTCTCTCCTCCTGGAGGGAAAAGGGATTGGGACGGAAAGTTCCAACCCTCCCATCACAAGATCAGTCCTCAGGGCAAACAGCCCCTACCCTTGGGTGGGGTACAAAGCCACCTTCATTAACATAATGGAAAACTCTTTCCCCCTTATCACAGGTTTCAGGAGTTGCGAGCAGAGGTCTGTGGATGAAGACCAAATAAGTGTGAGAAATATATTTTGGTCATCTGGACGACCAGATATATATTGCTTATAAATCACAATATCACAGGGCTTCACCCCAAAGTATGTTCCGTTCCACTGAGCAATAAGGAAAGAACACTGGAAGATTCTTATATGGTGCTCCTTCATGGCCCATGCATTTTTCTTGACCCGAGTTCAAGGAACTGTGTAACGTTTTTCTTTGGGACTTTCCTCTGGCTTTGAAGGAGGCTGTATGTGATTCCAAGTCATGGCTTTCATCACAAGAAAACTGGATCTCCGCGAAGTCAGAATCTACAGGTCCCACCTTTGGTTCCTTAAGGTAACAAACAGTGCCTGAGCACAAGGCCTTGAAAGAGCTGAAGAATACCTAAATCTTGAGTAAATGAGGAAAAAGACAAGTTCTTCATCTTTTCATGAACAGCCACAGAGAGCTGTGGTCAGAATGAAAAAGAAGGGAGGGAACACAATTCTGTGGGCACCGTGGACACCACGGGACAAATGAGTTGAACCGACTAGAAGTTGGAGACTCTGACCACCAAAACCTGTGTTCCTAATGAAAACTGCCAGGAGGGACACGCTGCCGAAATAACCAGATTAGGGTGGGAGGGTAGGGTGGGAGGGCTCAGAAGAGCACCGTGGTAATAAGGGAACAGACCGACAAACCCTCAGCCATCACTCAGCCCGGCAAGGGAAGCAGAGTCCATTGGCACTCTTGCCCAGCCCGAGAACAGAAATGAGTACGTAAGGCCTCTCGCTGCCTATTGATCCCTGGTCGTCGATAATAAGGGCGGTTTTCTGTACCATGACTAGAGGAAAATTGTGTATGTACGACACACATAAACACTTAATGAGGAGGAAGATAAGTAAGAACCATCAGAGGGGTCCTGGTTTGTAGCTGCAAATGGGCCTCACAAGAGGTTATTACATTAGAAGGAGAACAGGAGAAAGATTCGTAGGTGATGAGGAACAGAAGGCCGGCTGAGGAGAAAACGAAAGCTGACACCCTGCAACCTTCCCCCTCTCCCCACTCCAGGATGGGACACGCGTGACATTCTTCCAGGAATCTCCCGTCCTACGTGAAATACCTTGCCAGAGGGGAAAAACAACCTTATTCTTGTAGGTCCTCTTTAGCTTATGAAAGTTCTATTGAAACCTTTTCCCCCAACCCCGTGCTACATAACCTGCCACCCCTCACAACCCTGGGGCAGCAGCTCTTCCTGCCACAGGTCCTGTTCTTGCGCTTTAATAAACCACCACCATTTTGCACCAAATTGATGGCTCAGGGGAAGTGAGTTGGGGGAAATCAGAGGGGGAGACGAACCATGAGAGACTGTGGAATCTGATAAACAAACTGAGGGTTTTGGAGGGGAGAGAGGTGTGGGGGGTTAGGTGAGCCTGGTGGTGGGTGTTGTGGAGGGCATGTATTGCATGGAGCGCTGGGTGTGGTGCATAAACAATGTATTCTGGAACAGTGAAAAGAAATTTTAAAAAGAAATAAAAATTAAAAAAAAAAAATTCTTTCAGGGCACCTGGGTGGCTCAGTGGGTTAAAGCCTTTGCCTTCGGCTCAGGTCATGATCTCAGGGTCCTGGGATTGAGCCCTGCATTGGGCTCTCTGCTCAGTGGGGAGCCTGCTTCCTCCTCTCTCTCTCTGCCTGCCTAGTTGTGATCTCTATCTGTCAAATAAATAAAAAATCTTTAAAAAAACAAAAAGAATTCTTTCTTGGTCCTCGGCTCCGGACCCCACCCCTGAACCTCCCGATGTTCTAAAACTTCAT